GCTTGTACAGAGGGGGAGGGGAGAGGGGGAAGAAAGGGGAAGGCACCAAAGGGACAGGGTAGAGGAGACACAAATGCTAGGGGGGAAGTGGAGACAATGAGGAAAAGGGCAGGAGGGGAGGTGTCAGTGGGAGGGGGGACAGGGTGATGCTCGAAGAGGAGAGGGTAAGGGCATTGGGTATTGAAGGGGGAGGTTCTGGGAGAAGGATTGACAGAAAGGGTAGGCATGAGGAAGGTGGGGTTGGAGCAAATCATGTGTGAGGGCAGAAGGGCATGAGGGGAATGGGGGCAAAGGGTGGTGAGGGGATGGGCATCAGGGAAAAAAGGGCAAAGGGGGCAGGGGCAGTGAGGGAAGGGGGAGGCACCAGGAGGAAGCAGGGGTAAGGGAAGGTGCAGGTGCCAGGGAATTCTGGGAGTGAAGCAGAAGGGCAGACACCTGCAGGGGAGGGACCAGCACCAGAGGGGAGAGGCGAGGGGGGTGGGAGAAGAGGAAAGGAGGAGGGGTAGCTCACATGATCAGAGTGGGGCTACCGGAGGAGTGGGCACAGAGGGGAGAGAAGGGCTGGTGGAGAGGGGTCAGGTCTCAGGAAGGCTGAAGGCAGTGAGAAGGGCAGGAATCAGGACAGCAGAGGAGGCTGAGGGGTTGGGGGGCAGCAGGAACCATAGGAGTAGATGGAGCAAGGGGAGGAGACATGGCAGCAGAGTGGAAAGGTAGATATTTATTAATAACTTGGGTGCCACAATGGCACATCCAAACAAGCCACATGAACTCAGTACTGGTGCACAACACAAAATTCATTCTGCTCATGGGAGGAAACTCTTAGAGGGAACACTTCCTCTAACTTCTCTGCCCCCTAGTTAATGTCACACACATTGGGTTAATGCAATTGCAGGATAGTTGCATGCAGGGGGAGGAGGAGAATTAATCCCTATTGGTAGGAGGATGGTGGGAAAAGTCCTGGGGGGGGTGTGTCACATAACACATTTTACTTTTGGTCATGTGCCCATCTTGCCTGGAGAGGGTTACCTCCAGAGACATGGCTAATGGGGGCCAGGGCCATGGTTAACAGTGGTTAGGAGTGTGGCTAATGGGAGGTCAAAGTACATTTTAAAAAAATTCTTTAGGTGCACACTCTAATGAAATATGCTGCGCATGCCTGTGACTAGGGTTGACAACTCTCCTGGACCTGACAAACTGAGCACCATTGTGGCAAATGGCATCTGGTCAATCCAATCTGGGAGAGTTGTCAGTTATCAGAAGGGCATAAATAGATCGAGGGGGAAGGGCATAAGTCAACACCCTCTCCCTAAAAATTGTTCCAGTGCCACTGATGTTGGTATGAAGCACTTGTATCAGTAGGAGGTAAATTTACATGTAGACATATCCACAGCTAGGTTGATGTGAGGCAGCGTACACTGACCTACCTTTGTAGTAGAGACACAAGGGAATGTTATAAGCAGGAAGAAGGGGAATTTACACAAATTAAGATGATGAGATCTCATGATTTTTGCAAAGCACATATGTTCAATCTAGCTATGTCTAGACTGCAGAGGTTTTCCGGTATCCTAGAAAAACTCTGCTAAATCCAGGGAACGTGTCCACTTTTTCAGAACAGTTTCCAAAAAAGTGGGCACGTTCTTTCTGCATCCCTGTATTCCTCTCGGTGAGGAGGTTTACAAAAGAGGAGGTTTTTCTGAATTTTGGCTCTGTATAGGTCCTCTGTATTTGGTCCTGCCATGAGGGCAGGGACTGGACTTGATGACCTCTCGAGGTCCCTTCCAGTCCTAGTATTCTATGATTCTAGGTAGGCCACATTTCTGAAAATCTTCTTCTGAAATAAAAAATGTGGAAAAAGATATGCAAATTGTGGTTCACAATTTGCGTATCTTTTTCCAAAAAAAACCTCTGCAGTCTAGATGTAGCCTCTGTAGGTATATCAGAACTGACTCCTTCATATACAGTCACAGGAATGGCCCACATCCCATGCTGTACTTCATAACACAGAAGGTGCAGCCCAGAAGAGTAAGGGCAGATTTGGTTTGCTTTAGGTGCCAAAATGGCCTCTGCAATAAGTCATTGAAGCCCCACAGAGCTTTTCCACAGCCCTAAATAGCCTGAGTGAAGAGTGTTCCAGCCCCCTCCCTGCTTTCCCTTATCCACTTCCTTGGTAAAACTCTAGGCTGGGGTTTTGTGTGTGTGGGGGGGGGTTTAGGGCTCGCTGTTCCATCCCTGCACAGGGGTATTCATGGGACTCTTTCTATCCCTGCTAAGGCCCTTGTCACCTCTTGAGTGGTATAAAGGGTCTTTACTGAGGACAGGATCAGACCCATTCTCTTTGTACATGGAGAATAAATGAAATGAAGGTAGGCTGGTTCACACAGATGACCCATATTGGTAATCATTTTTTAAAAAGATGAAAATGAGAACAGGAGAAATTCATCATGGTGGGAATCTCAGCAGTGAGGGGCATACTGGTAACATGGGGTAGTACTGTCCATGATAATAGGAACAGCTGTACCTATTATTTAAAAGACCCCTCTGATCTCTCTCTGAAATTATGCCAGCAATTCAAGCCTGATTTGATGTTGCTAGTACATTTGCTATAGGCTTAATCCAAAGCCCACTGATGTAAATGGCAATCCATTTTTTAAATAAAAAAATGCACTTATTTCATGTAGGCAATATGACAGATGGGATTTCTCAGAAGGGATTTGAAGAGCGAAAGGTGCTGGTTTCATGAATGGGAATTGGAAGATTGTCCCGTGCATTAGGACGGCAGATACTGTGATCTTGGAATTAATTGAAGGTGCAGAATTTATACTGACCTCATGAAATTGACCTCACAGTAAGTCTGCTAGTTATTTAATATTGCTTTGCAGAAAACACAGAATGGCTTTAAAGTATCCAGAGAAGGCCAGTGAAAAATCCTGTCTGCCCATGAGAACTTTCTACTAATTTGAAGCTGGTGCTATCTGTGCTAGCCACCTCCTTGATCTGCTGTGTCAGGGGAAGGAAGGGATATGTCAAGGACATTATTACAAGGGTGGGACATGGGTGGGCCAAAGAGAGGAGGGGACACTGCACAGAAGCCTCCACTGTGCCTGTTCCTCTACTGGCAGAAGTTGGGGGCAGCCCCTGTATAGACTTATTTGTTCCAGAGCTAGACAGCTTTGAATCAGAAAACAGCAACTGGCCCCTATGTGAATCAAGCCCTGTGAGTCTAGCTCTTTGACTCCTGCTTGGAGTGTTCGAAGGCCACTATATTTTTGCATACTGGGTTCACTGAATGCTCAACCAAATGACATTTTTTTCCCTCGCAACAGAAGGAAGTTCCAGTACACTGGATGGGATCTTTGTCACCGTTCCCTGGGGAATTAGCAAAAGAAAGTGAGCCATAAGACTACAGAGCTTGCTAGTATCCAGGCTGGAATTAACTCAAAGACTGCTTTAATAAGGAGATATGACTATAAATATGGTATGCATTGAAGAGCACAATCTGGATCAGAACTTGTTTCCATTTGTTTACATCATTGTGTTTGTGATCAGTATTCCTGTCAATTGTGCATCCCTCTGTGTATCTTGTATACAAGTGAGGAAAAAAAACGAGTTAGCGATATACCTCTTCAGTTTATCCTTAGCTGACCTCCTATACTCTCTGACCTTGCCTCTGTGGATTGATTACACTTGGCGTGGAGATAATTGGCGATTTGCTCCTTGGCTTTGCCAGATTTCCGCCTTCCTTATGTATATGAATTTGTATACTAGTGCTGCCTTCCTCACCTGCATCTCCCTTAATCGATATCTGGCATTAGTTTACCCTCTCAGATTTCAACACTTGCGCACAAGAAGATTTGCCTTGCTTGTTAGTATCTTTGTTTGGATTTTGGAAACCAGCGTGAACTGTATAATTCTGGTGAAGAAAGATACATTTACAGAAGTTTGCAATTCCACTAAACATCTCCTATGTTATGAGAAACATCCTTTAGAATATTGGCAAGCCATAGAAAACATCTTCCGGACCTGTTCAGGATACATGATCCCTTTGGCAGTCATGCTGTTTTGCTACCAACAAATCTACCAAGCTGTGAAGCATAATCAAGCCACAGAAGACAGAGAAAAAAAGAAAATCAAGAAGCTGCTATTGAGCATCACCATTACTTTCTTCTTTTGCTTCACTCCCTACCATGTTGTGTTGCTGGTTCGCAGCATCACTGAGTCAGACTTTAGCCAATCTGCCAGTGTGCTTAATGAGACAAACAGTAGCCAATCTGCCAGTATGTTTAAGGCTTATAGAATCACACAGGCCTTAACGAGTCTCAATTGTATTGCTGACCCAATACTGTACTGCTTTGTGAGCGAAACTGGGCAAAAGGATATCCTGAACATGCTCAAGTGCTGCTTTGGTGTGCGGCAATCTGAGTTACAGCAGCCAAAAGATATCACTATGACTAGTAGCATTACAAAGAATGCTTCAGTAGTGACAATGAAGTTAGCAACAGACCTTTAGGTGAAAATGAACCTTTGCAATATGCCCCAATACAGTGAACCGTGAAAGAAATATATAATTGATGAAACAGGCCGAATTCTTTCCTTATATTTACATCCAAGAAACACCACTCAAACTGTATAGTATCAAAATAATATGAAATCAGTGGAGTTGCCTAGGTGTAACTGAGAGCAAAATACAGCCATTATATTTTATTGCTTTGACTATAAAGAGCAAGTGTATGGTCTAGTGATTTAAAGGTGGTGGATGGGAGATAGGATCAGGACTGGCTTGTGAGCAATGTGAGTGGGGGCTTCGCTCTGAGCCCCCCGTAAAGGGCAGGGCTTCAGATGAAAGGGATGGGACTAGGGAGCAGTCAGCTCTCAGTGCCGCCTGGAACTCTGGCAGAGATTTAAAGGGCCCAGGCTCCAGTAGCTGCTGCCCCATTGATGGTACTGGTTAGGACTCATGGGTTTTATTACTGAAAGATCTAACAAGGATTCATTGTGAGACCAGGGCAAGTCACTGAAATCAGTGAAATTGCACCAGCATGGAACTGTCATTGTCCTAACCGGTGAAAAGCAAATGCAGAAATCAAACAGGAATAAAGATTGTAGCTCATCCTGTGCTGTGAGGCTGATAATTTAACTAAGTGGCCCCCACAAAATTGGCCCTTTTGTCTTATTCTATACACCTTCAACCAGGCATGCATGCTCTCACAAAGAAAAAGTCAGAAACATTAGAAATCTATTTGCCTTCCAATTTTAATATACATATGAAGATTGTGGGGAAGGGATCCTATCATGGGATTTTTTTAAATACCTGGTCTTTTGATACAAACCATATTTCAAAGGCAAAAAGCTTATGAATTCCAGGGATAAATCTTACAATTATGACTGGAATTATACTGCCATAGCCAGACAGAGTATCACTGTACAGGGAACTCATTCTTGCCAACCTTCTAATGTGATGGTGTAATTTTAACAAGGTTTCTAGGAGCCCCCAATGTCTTCAGCAACCTTTTAAACTGATGTAAATTTACACAGGCTTGCCAAAAACCAAACTTGTCTGCTTTCACTTTTGTTAATATATCTGCTCTCCCCTTTTGAGATGGTTTTATTATAATTGGAAGATTCAGCTTCAGATTCTTAAAAGTTAATTATTCTTGAAACACACGTAGAACTCACCTTGGTGCAACTCTGTTGGAATTATTCCTTCCTTACAGTGTGGTTCAGTGTCTCCAGGACACAAAGAGGCACAGAAATAGAGACATAGCACAAGAAAAGCTTCAACTGCTAATCCTCATGCTATTCTTCTCTTGGGGTTAAAATAATACAGGGCCAGACTATGCTCGTGGTTATAATGTAGTAAAGCCAGTGTAACTGGGTTTACACCAGTTCACTGAGAATCGATATTTGTCCACAATACAGACTTCAGTGTTGGCAGTCTGGACAAAAAAAAGTAAAAAAAAACCCTTTAAAAAAACTATACAAAAACCTGAATCTAGCAGTAACCTGTGGAACAGGTACTAACTATGGACTTGGCTCCATGTTGTGCTGAGAGCCTCCTGTGACATCTACCTGAAGGTGATATTTTTTAGATCTCAGAAAACAGGAGATATTGTATTAAAAAAAATCACCCCAAAACCAATAACTTCACTTTTTGACTGACAATTTTTAATCATTTGGTTTTGCAGCAACATCAACAACAACAGAGAGAAAAAAATTGCACAGAAAGCAATGTCAGCTCCAAACTAAACAAATACAATTTTTTCAGTCTTCTCTCATGTTTTCTAGATCTTTACTACTTTTTGTTGCTTTTCTCTGGACTTTCTCCAATTTGTCCACATCTTTCCTGAAATTTGATTGATCAATCAATAGATCGATAGATCAGTAGATAGATAGATAGGGACTTGGGCCCCAAAAAGCTGTCTGGGGGTGGGTCTTCATCTTAGCATCTGTTCCACAATTTCTTTTTGCATTTCAATTTGATTCTTCCACCATAACTTTCTTTTAACTTTTTAAGTTGTGGGTATGATTTTACAATTGATAAGAAAAGGACAGTATAGTGCAGGAAGCAGCACTGTCCATTGCTTCATCAAAGTGCTCAGAGCTGGCATGGGAACATGATGGGTTTCATAAGTGAACAAGAAATTTCATCACCCTGCAAGAATTAAAAAACCTCCACTGTATTTGCAATGATGTGCATAGTTTTGAACAAATATCAGCGGCTGACTTCTGAAAAGATCAGCTATAGTATTAAAACAGTATTAATAGTATTAAGAAGTACTGTTCTTTTGTTACTGTCCAGCTTTATAAGTTGCTATCTGAAAGAGAACAGCCTTGCTGCAATGCCTTAGCCTGTAAACAAATTTCAGTGCATATTGGAAAAGGTTAGAAAAGGGAAAGCCACTGTAACACTCATTTGGCAGCAAGGCAGCACCATGTTGGTTGCAGCATGGAGTAGTATTCCAGTGGGATTCGGTTCTGGTTTTAGCCTTCCTGTCTCTCACTTGGAAAGTCACCAAAGCCCTAATCCAGCGCCGAGTTCTGCACAGGTGAATCTCTGCATTCACATGGAGTCCCACTGACTTCACCATGGTGCTTCCCAAGGGCAGGTGGCCTGCCCCTGTAGGTCTCAGTGCAAGATCTCCATGCCTCTGTTTGCTCATCTGTAAAATGCTGGAAATGAGTCTCCCCATGCTTTTTCAAAGTGCTTTGCAATGGACAGCACATTATAATCATTCTGTTGTTGTAAATGTAATTCTTGTGTTATATTTTTTAAAGGGTGGGGAAACAAAACAACGTCAGCCTAAACTTAGCCAAATTTAGCTTTGGAATAAATAGACACATCTATTCAATGGAGTTAGAGCCAAACTCCTTACAACAGGGTTGCTAACGGGAGGGACAAAAGGGGCAGTTGCCCCAGGGTCTACTGATTTAAAAAAGTCAGGGGTTCTGTGCTGTCACCACTGCTACTGCAACAGCAGCATCCAGAGCTCTGGGCCATTTAAAATCATCACCAGAGTCCCATGCAGTGCTGTCCACCTGGCAATGAGGGCTGGCTGCCCTTAGCCTTGCCCCTTCTTCCCAAGGCCCCACCCCTACAGGGCCTGGAGCAGAGCTCCTGCTCACATTGTATAGAGCCCAGCAAAGTCTGTCCTCAGCCCTGCTTTACAATAAGCCTGAATTGACCCTTAGCTTTTACAAGCCTTTAATTTCCCCCAAAGCGCAGCCTAAGGGCTTTATCCAGTGCTACTTGCATAGTCACGAGTATATGTTTTTACAGAATGACCTCCAAAATTGATTAAATTTTCCAAGTTCTTTTGGAGCTATTTGGAAATAAAGAAAAGATGCAACTGTGCTTAAAGTAGGCATAGGTTTTTGGGGATTTTTAAGGGAGCCCGCAGAACTCAGGAATCCAATTGCCACTGAATTTCAATAGGATTTGGGTGCCTAATTCCCTTAGGAACCTGCTTTGTTGACAGTCACAGTGTCTTTTCCTAAGACTGACTTCCAGCTCCAAAGGCGCTTTGGAAGGTGAAGAATGCAATGTGTTATACCTAAACATCATTGATGTATTTGTCTAATAGTATTACAAGCTAAAAAAATGTATCGGGAGAGAAAATGCATTTTTCTACTTTATTCAATGTCTCTAAGTTTGTTCACCTTAGATATGGCAAGTTGGCCTGGGGAGCTTTCACATGGCAATCTAGGGGTGGGTAATGTTGTTTATATTTACATAAGATTAAATGCCAATATAGAAACAACTAAGAGAAAAATCCTCCCCCAGGACACACACACTGCATACTTCGTACCCATTCCACAGATTTTTCTTCTTCTAACCACCTGTATGGGGGCCACTCTACCAGTTCTTCTCTTTTCCATTCTGTCTCAAAGCAGTTTCTCAGAAATTCTGCGCCTAGTCGAGTCCTTGTGTATAACATCCATCCATCTAGTTTTGGGTCTTCCAGATTTCTCTTACCCTTCACTTCTAAGTTCAACACCTGTTTCCTATATATTGTTCTGATCATCTTTTCAGATAACCAAACCATCTAATACTGAGAGAATTCAGGCTTTCTGTAATTGCTATCACCTTCATGCTTCCCTTCATTCATTCATTCCAAACATGGTCCATCCTTAACTCCAAGCATTCATGTTAACTATACTTACCCAGACTGCAGACTGCTATTGCACATTCTTCATTAGGCTGCTGATGGCAGTGAATTCACAGAATAAGTGCAAATCCAAGTGGATAATTTTATCTTAAGCAGGGAAATTCCTCCTAATAGACAAAAGGCCCATAAAATTACAAGGCAGAACAATGAAGTGGGCTGAATACAGGGTAAAGAATGAGCAATGTATGAATTCTAATCTCAGTTATTTTAGAGAGACTTGGACATAGCTTTGGCGCATGTGACATTGATAATACATGGTCTCAGATAAGTCACTGAACTGAACTTTTCTTCATCTCGGTTTCCCAAGCTTCTGCCTAAGACAGGGCTGGCCTTACCATGAGGCGAACTGAGGCAGCCCCCTCAGGTGCCAGACTGTGGGGCGGGGTGTAGAAAATTGTGTCTGCTGATGATGCATATGTATTCTCTTTTCTCTAGAGTAGAACAGGAAGAAGGCTGAATTGAGACCTTTCAAAGTTTTGGCCCAAGCAATGGGGTATAGAGGCATCATTAGAGCTCCCCACCTCAGGTGCCAAAATGTTGTGGGCTGGCCCTGGCCTAAGACTGCTAATGCTCACAAGGTGTGTGACTGCTGAGGAACAGTGAGTTAACATTTGCACTGCACTTTGAAGCTGTCAGTGTAAGTAGCAGTCAAACTGTTTGCACGATAATCTCAGAGTTATTTTTGTACATCAGTAATTCACTGAGGGTAGACCCATTGTCCCAACAGCCCAGGTATAAAGATACTAGCAGAAATACCCGACATTGCTCTGGTCTTTAAGCGAAATAATTTTTTGTGTGTTTGTTTGGAAAATAAAAGGAAAATGTACATGTTTTATGTAAATAATTGTATTTTTCAAAAATAAAGGAAAAATAAGTTTGTATTAATAAAAGAAGGAAAGAGATTCAAACTTTACCTAGAAGAGCTTCTTGGTAGACAGTATTTTAAGTTTTTCTGTCTTCTGGTAGAATACAAAGGAGGTGGGGATGCAGGAGTGACGGCAGGGAGGTGAGAGGTTTCAGGGTCTGGACTGAGGGCGAGAGGTTTCAGGGGCTGGACTGAGGCTCAGCATTTGCTGTGGGTGGCTCAGGGGAGAGAGTGTTTGTACAGGACACAGTGCAGGGAGTCCAGGGCAGGGAGCTGAGAGGCAGTGTGGAGGAAATTTACGGGGGCCATCCAGGGCAGCAAGGGTGGCACTGCTGTGGCAACGTCTCCTCCCAGGGGGCCAGGGCTGTGGTCTCCAAGTGGCGGCTTCTCTTGAGGGCAGGGCTGGATTAAGGGGGGGGGCTAGCCAGGCAGCTGCCCGGGGTGCTAACCTATGGGGGACCTCCGATTGCAGCTGTAAGGTGCACAGCGGGGGGCGGTGCCGCGTGTGCGCCGTGCGCCCAGGGCACAGCCACACATGCATCGGGGCCGGCCCTGCCTGAGGGCAGGGGCTGCACAGGCCTTCCCCAGCCTCTAGCTGCACTCCCAGTAGGGATTTAAGCGATTAATCGACTAGTCAACTATCCAATAAGCAGAAGCTTATCGGATAGACAACACACTAGTCGACTAGTTGCTTCCCCCCAACACCTCTATCAGAAAGAGGTGGCAGGGGGAGGGGAGAAGAGGAGGAGGTGCTAGAGGAAGCTGGCTTAAAAGCCAGTTCCCCCCAGTTCTGTGGGAGGGAGCAGGGGCACAGTAGCCGACAACTTTGAAATGTCCAAGAGCCCCAGTGGGGACACTTGTACATTTCAAAGATTGAAACGCTGCCTGGAGACGAGGGCCAGTAGGGAGTCTCCTGCTCACCTGGGCTCCACATGGTGTTTCAATCTTTGAAATGCACAAGAGCCCCAGTGGGGGTTCTTGTACATTTCAAATTGGAAGTGCCGCAAGGAGCCTGGGGCCCCATGGGATTCTGAGGCCCCCGCTGGCCCCAGGCTCCACAAGGCATTTCAGTCTTTGCAATGCACAAGAACCCCTGCTGGGGCTCTTGTACATTTCAAAGGCGGAATGTGGAAGTCGTTATCGATACGAATTTCAAAAGCAGAATGTGGAAATCTCATCAACTATTTGATTAGTTAATTAATTGAAATTTAACATCCCTACCCCCCAGCCTGTCCAAGGGGATGGGGCTCCGGAGCCTGGCATCAGCTTCCATCTGCCTCCCCTTCCTGCAGTTGACCCAGCAGGGGCAAGATTCTGGGACTGGCCCTGGCTTCCAGCTGCCCCTCCCTCCACCACACCCTGCAGGCTGTCTGGAGGGGAGGGGGTGGATTAGTTAATTAATTGAAATTTAACATCCCTACCCCCCAGCCTGTCCAAGGGGATGGGGCTCCGGAGCCTGGCATCAGCTTCCATCTGCCTCCCCTTCCTGCAGTTGACCCAGCAGGGGCAAGATTCTGGGACTGGCCCTGGCTTCCAGCTGCCCCTCCCTCCACCACACCCTGCAGGCTGTCTGGAGGGGAGGGGGTGA